GCTGGTGGCCTTGAACTGCCCACCCCGCAGTTACCAGCCCAATGCCTAACCAGCAGCGCCACCAGGGCTCCCTATAACACTGCCGGTGGTAGCAGACTGGTATGAGTCATTCAGCTGTTACATAGCTATGCTACTTCATTTTTGATCTACTTATAAGACTCAATTTTTACTTTACCTGGATTATTTTTATTAAAAACAAGCCTCAAAAGAAGGGATTAAAAAAAAAATTCCCTCAGCCCCCAGGGCACTCTCATGTTCTGTGTCTTCTATGTTGATAAAATTTCTCCTTTTGTTTTTCATTCTTTCACCCTCTCCATCCACCTTTTAGGCTCTCCTGCCCCACACCCTACCCTCAATTCTCATAGGAAAACACGATGATCGCAGAGCAAGTCACCAGCATCAGTAGAAGTACCATTTACCTGTCAGAGGCTGGTGAATGCCTTGTTTAACCTCACCAGAAGCCCCTCTGAGTGGTCTTCTGTGTAGTCTGGTATTTTTCCATATAGCATTTTTAGTGGTTTTTAATGTTTTTCCTGGCAGCATCTGTAGTGAAGACCCAGTGGTTAATAGTAGCCACTGAATTGCATTTTTAAAAGGAACCCCGAGTCAATGTCTGACTGGTAACTGCAGAGTCAGCGGTTCATACCCAACTGCCGCACCTCGGGGAAAAAGTGAGACTGCTCCCGCGACCATCTGTAGGGTCACTGTGAGTCAGAGTTGACGCGGTGGCAGCCGTGGTTTTGGTTTTACTGAATTTGAAAACAAGAAGAGACGCAGGACCACTCAGTCCTAATCTCGGCTTTTGCCCCCCCTCCTCTGCTGTCCTCTGCGACCCTTGCCCACTCATTGCTGTTTCCTTGTCACTTGTAATGGGAGTGTGAGCGACCGTCTAGCTTGTTTCTTTAGCTTTTCTTCCTCAGCTCCATTGTGCTTGAGTTGCTTGTTCCACTTAACGAGTGAAAACGTACAACTTCTGTTTTTTCAAGTTCCTTTCTTAAAGCTTTGTTTTTTATAAAGCCCTCTCATCGTTTCATGTGACTGCATCACAACGCACATTCATTCATGCCTCTTCATTTCCTCCTGTGTACCGAGGGGGTGAACGTTTTTGGATAACTTTGGCCTTCCCATTTCTCCTGTTTCCCGCAGCTTGGACTCGTACAGTCATAAAGAAGATGCTTCCGCGTTCCCAGGGAAACGAGCCTTAATCTCGTTTCTGTCCTGGTTTGACTATTGCGACCAGCTGATCAAGGAAGCACAAAAGGTTTGAATATTGTTCTTGCCGTTTGTGTACTGATAAGTTTCCCATGTAAACGTCACCAAATAATGCTTGTCTTTTGTTTATTTCCCTGAAAGTGTTTCACGTATCGTAGTGAGGATAGCACCACCGGTAAAATAAACAAGCAAATAGGTGTGTGTGTGTGTGTGTGTTACAACTCTTGAGCAAATGAAAGTTCAAGTTTTGCCCTCAGCTACTGCTGTAAATATGGTACAACCAGTGCATAGGACCAGTTCAAAAATGACTCATTTGGGGCTGACAGAAGCAAGGGCTGTACCTCAGTTGCATAGCAACAGTTGGCCACCACTTTTGAATGGGATGCTGCAGCCTGGTTTCTGCTCAGGCCAAAATCCACCAGGCAAGAGGCATGTATGTCGTGCAACAAGTATGCCTGC